GAAGTTCAGAGGAATTTTGAATTGTGAAGAACTTTAGGAAAATGATCCAGTTGGTTGAGATTTTTCACTACCTCTGTGATATATGCAAAAGATTATTGCATTCTTCCAAATCACCTCATTTTATATTAATAATTCAAGTAATACTTTGGTTACAATAAATTGAAAAGATTAAGATGTGGCTTAGAGATAATCCTTGAGTAATGGTTATTTAAATTTTTCCCTTTATATCATGAACATAGATAATCAGTTCATTTTTCAAATAGAAGTGTGTTATAGTTTTTCTAGACAATCTCTAAGACATTAAAATAATTTTCCCTTCCTATATCCCTTTTGGTAAAACAAACCTTTCCTGGAACTAAAAATTCCTTCTCAAATAAATGTTTATTTAGACTCATCCATAAAAAAATCCAGAGTTAAAATTTACTTCTTTAATTTAAAAAAAGACTAATCTGGAATATAGCTCTATCTTTCACATCAGCCATCTATTTTTCTATTTTATGGAATAATTTCTGAGGATTTCTGGAATTAACTCTAAGATATTATTTGTAAATGACCCTAGAAGATCCTGGGTGTGAAGTAATTTGAGTTTTGTAAACATACAAATATGAGTCACAAGGGACTAGTTGGGTGCTCAGGTGTAAGTAGTCAAGCTAGAGCATAAATCTAACTACACATCAAGTATCTTCTATCAAAAGTGGTTTTGCTTCTCTCTATTCAACCAGTGAGCAAAATGCAGAATGAAAATCTGGAAGGGCCATTTATATTTATTCTGTCATACTTTGCCTTCTTGTAAATGAAAAGAATATACTATGAGGCTATTGCAATATAAAATATGTAAAGGATGTGCCACTAGTGCATTGTCACAAGTCTTTTGCACAGTACATGTTGAGACATAGGTTAAGAAGACCAGCTAGATTTCCCAGTGAAACCACTAGCTGTCAAAAAAGACCAGCTGGTGGTTTCACTGGGAAATCTATAATTGTCCAGAAAATCCAAGGAAAATCAGCAGATTTTAGCTTTTAAGTTTTAGGATTTTTAAGATTCTAGATTATCTCTAAATAATGCTGGCACTGCGATCTTTTAGAAATGAATCATTTATTTCAGAAATCATAAAAATTGTCAAACAGTTGATTAAATGTTAAGATTTGTCAGATTTATGCAACTGAATTTTCATTTATGCAATAAGTGAATCATTTAATATGTGACTTTTGATTACTGTAATGAGTCACTTGACTGATACACTAATGATCTGTAATTAAAAGTCACAAATGAAATATGAATTACTTTTTATTCCCAAGGATTAGTAAAATGGCTTACATGAATTCTGTTTCATTTTCAAAATAATCAAATACTCATGGAGAATAATTTAAGGTATTATTATTAGACATAATAAATTAAGATTATTTACTTTCTGAAAATAATTTGTAAGTTTTATTTTTCCTATGAGGTTTAAAATTTCATGGTCTTCATTGGTTTAAAACTATCTGTATTCACAGTTGAAGTAAAACTCTTACAGTGCAACTGTGCTAATTATTAGACATACACTGTGATATACCCTACTCTTTGTAAATTGGAATTTTTGCTATGTCCCAAAAAGCAGGCTAGTCATGTCTTTTGAATTCAATTTTAACAAGTGGCCCTTCCCTTGGGCTGATGAGAGCAGTCAATGATATTTCTCTGTAAAGTTCAAGCTGTCTTGCCCATGCATGACAGGCACTGTGATTTCAGCTTTGCCTAGTTAAAAATACTCAGGATTCAATGTGAATTTTAGATTCTTTTCTACAGTACCAAAAATCATATTAATATTCTTGAGAAGGCTGTATATCTAGAGTGTGTATATATACATATACAGAGAGAGAGAGAGAGCGCTGTATATCCTGGGAACAGGATAAACCATTCCTGGGAGCACTGACATTGTGATTTCTCTTTAGCTATGGGGGAGAGGAGTAGTAGCCAAAATAAAACAAACAAAAACAAATAATAACAAAAAAAACATTTTTTTGTATGCTGATATTGTTTGTCCTCTAAAACAATAAGCTTCAAAGGACATGAAAGAATTATAAGAGTTGTGACTTTGTAACTATATATTAGACCAGAAAAATGTCCTTCCAGGCCTTGATTTGCTCTTGTCTTCGAGATGAATGACTGACTTCCTTAAAATAGAAATAAAACACCTAACCACAAATCAAATCAAAGCCTAGGCTATGTCTATCTGACCTAATATAAATCAGCTTAATAATGGGCCTTAGGTTTCTTACCTATAAAAATGGAAACAAACGCTTCTGTACCACCATGTGTGGGTAATGGCTGTTCATGAGCAGTCACCAGAAAGGGTCCTTCAGAAGCTTGAGACAAACCTGCAAAGGAGTTGTAAAGTCTTTTTTAGCAGAGATGACTTGAATTTCTTTGATAACCCTCCTGGAAAACTAGGAGTTCTTCCCCTGGATGAATAGAGGTCCCAACCTAGAGAATTCAGCCATCCCAAAAGGAGCCTCATTTGTGCAGTGTAGACTAATAGAACAGTCAATTTGAGTGTAGGATGTGGTTAATAAAGGTGATGGCTTACATCTGGAGGTTGTGGGGTGGCCTGGTATATCCTTCAAGATCCTAAATTGAGTCACACTGAACTATAACTATTGCACCTTCCATTGAGTGGACCTGAGTCCCAAGTTGCCAGCCTCTCCATCACAGAAGATCCAAGTTTTATTTTCTACCCCTCCAGTTGTTTCTAGATAATACCTGAGTGTAGCTGAGAGACCAAAACTCTTAAGCATTTAGCCCTTGGGAAATAGGGGTTTCATATTTACATGAGATAAGTGTGCTTCCATTCTATTGTTAGTTTCTTCTCCTAAATGACTATATAGATGGAAGGAAAGCTTCTTTGGTGCTACCCATTCTGGTTCCTTAACATGAAAGAAAAATTTACAGTGAAGTTACCTCAAATTCCTTTTAGGTTAGGATTTTAAACAAGAAGATCGATTTTAGCAAAGTTCAGTCAAGATGTGGTTCCAAGGATAACATCAAACATTCTGCTGGTGGTGGAAATGTAAGTAGAAGCTTCTCTCAGAAGCTGTCCTGATTATGTGGAACCACCTGCACAACCAGCCCTGTCTCCTTCCCTGCCTCCCTCCCAACAAACTCCTCCATTCCCACTGCTGTTCCACATGGCACCAGGTGTGGTAGCTTGTAAGCCTTGCATTTTGGGTGATGGGCTTCACATCCTTTCTTGTAAGATCATCAATGAATTTCTCGCTTTCAGTTGGGAAAGAAAATCTTCTTGGAATCCATCATGGTTTTCCTAAGGATAGCAAACCCTCTTCACTTGCCACCTTTGTTTTCTGGCTTTCCTGTCTTCAAGGTATTCCTTCCTGCTGTCTCTCTTCCCCTGCAAAAGTAAGCTGGGCTCACACTTTTCTAGCCCCATTTAAATTACCCTTGAGGCACAGGCTAATATACTTGAAAATACCCAAAGAATGTAATGTCAATCTTCCTTGATTCATTATTCATGAAAGTGAAGTTACCATTTAGAATAACACAAAACTGTTGAAGCATGGTTCATCTATAATTTAAAGTAAAAGGATTCAAGTCCTTGTATACATTTTGTCTTGATGGGATGTTTCCTATCACTTTTATTTAGTGGAAATAATATCCTATGAGAGGAAATGAATGATGAATACATACTTCTCAAATTTGGTTGAGGCAGAGTTGAAATGGAAAAGGAAACTCAAGCTAAAGAAAGTATAGTTCTTCATAAAATAATAATCTTTAAAAGCTGAATCATGCTGACTCTTTGTTCTTTTGGTCTTGTTATTGAAACTTTAGGTTCTGACAGTCTGTGATTGAGGTAATTCATAGGGTATCAAATCCAGAATCCTTAGTAGCCTAATACCTCTTAGCTACTTGCTCCTCATCTGGGCAGAAATCAAGTCACACACTAAAAAGAAAGAGATAAGCAAGTGCCTTCTTCAAGGACCTATCACTTGATAAAGCAGTTCCACTGAGCATAAAAATGTCTCTCCTGGGAAGCCCATAGCAGCACTTTCTGAGCTCCTTCAAGGATGCTGGACTAAACCTCAAGGTCAATATTAATTCACATGGCTGCCTTCCTCTTATTCCCCTGACTTTAACTCATACCATAGTAGTCCCAATCCAGGTAATTCCCTTGAGGGTATCAGAGGATGGACCATACTGTCCTGTACTGCAGATGCTTATGGTGGAAAAAAAATAAGTTGTGATAACTAAGTATCTTAAAAGAAGAAAGTAGTGTCCAAAATGATAGTTTAAAACTTTCCTCTAGAGAGGAATCATGTGTTTAAATATGCCTTGACCATGGCACCTTCCCCTCACTGAGGAATTCTCAAGTACTCCTGATGTAGATGTACAATGGACCGCATGGAAGGACTGCTTCAACTATGAGGGGAAACATTTTTAATAAAACATAAAAGGAAGAAAATGTCACTATTATTTTATCATTTGACATGCAAGAAAAATTCCATTTAGCCAAGATATGTCAATTTGATAACAGTTTAGGAAAACACATTTAGAACTTTATTCTTCTATCTTAAAGCAATGCTGATTTTCTCACAACTATGAGTAATGTTGGTCACTTCTGTGTTAAAATCACTTCATAAAAAATAATCCATCACTTCTCTTGGCTCTTTGCTTATGGGAAGGTTTAACATGGTATAACTTCATTCTCTGAGTGGAAGCTTGCCTTATTAATACAAATGTTCTTATCTTCTTACGGCATGATTTGTTTTCTACTAATAAAATCTTCTGTTCCAGGATTTTCATTCATCTGGGTTCTTCTTTCCAGTCCAAACATTGGGGAGAACATGTGGGAAATTATGTTTTCCTATGTGTGTGTGTATGTTTGAGTATGTGCTTCAATTTGGATTTAGGAATCTCTGATTGCATGAGTGTGTGTTTCTAGATTGTGTGTTGAGAACTAGGGAAGTATTCCATGTCCTGACTATTGTGTTTTTATGTGATCCACACAGGTACAAATTGTTACCAAGAAGATAGACTTAAGCCATGTGACATCCAAATGTGGCTCTCTGAAGAATATTCGCCACAGGCCAGGTAAATAAACATTTTTAGTAGTTTGAGAAATATTTAATTGGATTCAGGAAATTGACAAGCAAAATTTTTCTTGTAAAATATGTAACTGGGCAAATGTTTCATAATCCAGATACTTCATGCTTTCATTAGTGGAAACTTAAACTAGAAATGTGAAAGCATCTTCATTTGAAACAAGTGAACTCAACAGGCCTCATGTCATAGAATAGGTTTAAAAGTAAAAGGCACATAAGATACATGTATCTCTATTACTTAACATGCTACTGTAGCTCTTTCAAAATATATAGTTTGTAAAATATACTGGGTCTTGCCTCCATATATATAACATCAACTGAAAAAAGGTATTTCCAAAAATTTTTCATGAAATTGTTTTTCTACATTATGTAAAATAAGAATTGTATTTAGCACAGCTGAAGAAATTTAATGATTTTCTCAGATCCTTTACTCTGTCAATAAGTACTGCAAATCCTCAGCAGAATGCAGTTCTCCCCCAACTTACTTGACGGTAGATCCCTACTGTCTTTTTAGAATATCTCATAGAACTAGTGTTCTGAAGTAGAGTTTATATTCATGCTATGAATATAAATGTTATAAGGCATTTTTTGAGTATATGTGTTACATAATTTGGTTAAATTTCACTTCCATACGTATGTAATGATGAATGGCTGTCAAATTTGTAATTTCTATAGAATATTTAGACATGATTTTTATATTCCATTGGATTATATAAGGAAAAAAATTTATTTTTAACCATCTATGCTTGGTGTCATAACATGTAAACCGGTAAAAGAGTATTTCCATTAATCATTGTTTCAAATATTGTCAGAAATAAGGTATAAAAATAATTGAGATGAGTAAGACCTCTGTCCAGAAGAAAACTATTAACCTATTAGTTGAAAACAAAGGTAGATATTTTAAGTTTTAAATGGAGAAATATGTTGGAAATACCTAAAACTCAGGCCTCATTTTGTTAAAGAGTGTTCATGAAGTATGTCAAGGAGTTACAAATTTCACGTGTGGAATCTTCATTCCTAGTGTCAGGACTGCTGTCATGGAACTGGCTCTGTGTTATTCATGGGCAGCAAGGACATGTCCATACCTCACATTTTGATGATTTCCCTGTCTGCAGCTGAAGTTCACAGACATTTAATTAACTTTGCATGTTCTTCAACAGCATGACTGCAGTAGTTGGCCACACTGCCTATTTTTTTGAAGCATACAAAAGGAAATGTTGGATTCTCTAATTCTAGATAGTAAGAACAGTCAGTTAAATTCACCAAGGGGTTGAAAGAAAAAAATCTCATAGATAATAGAAATATTCTGTCTATAATTTGCTGGTCATAGAATACTATTGTCATCGACTCCCAACTATTTATAAGTCTAGCTTTTTCTATTTTAACTGAATCAGATGGTTAAACTCACAAAGAAGTGTCAGCATGGCGATCCTTGACAACAACAAGTGTTTCACAAAGTTATTTGGAATGCGTAATATCTAAGGAGAAAGTAAAGAAAACAGCTTAATACCTGGAAGAAAAATCAAAATATCTGAGCTTCACTTTGAAGCCTTGATGGTCTTTCACAATTACCGCTCCTCATGCCAGAGTTCTTCCAAACAAAACTCATACATCTCTGAATTCAAATGGGTTTCTTTAATAGTTACATAAGAATTTCTTATGGTAAATCAACAGAAATAGATTAATCAACAGAAATAGATTACTCAAGCTTTCTTTTATGAATATATTTGGTGTTCACATTATAGTCTTTTTTCTTATTAAAAGATAATTCAAAAAAATTTTAACCAAGTTGTCTTGAAACAACACATATTCAGAAAAGGAAGTGTAAGAGAGCAATTTCTATCACAGGCTACCAAAAAATACAAAAATAAGATCACAAAGTTGTTGATGTAATCTAATAGAAATCCCAGCATACTCTCACCTCTAACCAAGATAATTATGTTTTTATGAATTATTATGACTCACACTAATCCCATCACAGCCAAGAGTCAGACCCACAGACCAAGTAAGATGTGGGAAGAATAACACTCTGTGAAACAATGCCCATTTTGAGGGAAGGATAAGTACACGTCTCCCACAAGTTAAAGTTACATGACAGAGTGTATACCCTAAGCCTTCACTAGAATAAATGGGTGTTTCCAATAACTCCTTATAATTTTAAGAGGCCCCTGGCCAGGTAGTTGGGCCGTAATATATATGTCTATGTATCACATGAGGAAAACAACACAAGGCTTATTAACAGATCTCTTTCTTTAGTCTACATAGATACATCAGCAATAAGCATCCAGAGCTAAAAACATATTTTCCATAGGTCCTCTCAAACATTTTCCCAAACCAAAATCTCCAGTGAAATGCAATAATAGGAATGCATATGATTGAAACCAAGTTGCTTATGACAGTGAACCAAATCTCTTAGGTGCAGATGGATAAAGAGGAGTCATCTTCCCAGGCCAAAGACATCAACAAACATTCAATGATGATCAAGGGACATGGAATACCTAACAAGTATAGAAGAACCCCTACATTTTAAGTCTGGGAAAGACATACAGAGACAGGGAAGACCACCACACTACAAGCTGTAACATGGCACCCTAATAATCAGCAGATCCTTGAGTTTCAGATTAGTTAGCATTAGGGGAAATTCCATGGTCAAAACTTCATCTCAGTATTATCAAATCCAAAATAATTATTAAATCAAGTGGCACCTGTGCGAGAATCTCCAGAGATTCTTTTCCTATCATACCATATGCTAAATAAAATGGGAAAGTCTCAAAGCTTACTAGTTACTAACAACCTAGTTCCTGACTCATTTCATCAGTGAAGTTACCAATGTTGAAAATTTACAAATGAAAGCAGTCATTTCTCAGTATTCATGGAGGATGGGTTGCAAGATCTCCCACAGATACCCAATCAAGGATGACCAAGTTCCTTATATTATATGTCATAGGATTTGCATATAACCTGCAAGCATTCCCTTATATATTTTAAATCATCTCAAGATTACTTATAATACCTAGTACAATGTAAATATTAAGTAATTAGTTGTTAGACCATATCATTTCAGAAATAATGACAAGGAAAAAGTCTGTACAAGTTCATTACAGATGCAACTTTCTTTCAAATATCTTCAATCCAAGGATACAGAATCTGTAGATATTGCTTGTCTATTCAGACTAAAACTTCTTGGGATAAGTGACTTGTGCCACAAAGAAGAATAAAGAAGAGTTTCATTTTCACTTTAATATGCTCTACTAAAGATATAAAGCAAAATGTTCAAAGTTTTAGAAAGTACACTATAAGGTTCCTTCATTGTGTTATTTTCAGATATTTTTGTTATCACAATAAGATAAACCCCTGTTATTTCTAAGGCAAACATGGATAAAGACGGTGTTAATATGTGGAGCAATCCATATAATGGTATAAAAAGGATGTCCTTATTTCGATTGTAAGGGGGAAATGGTATGATCTTCAAATTCTAAAAGATTCTTTCCATATCAATGATCAGAGGATCGTGGAGTTAGTAAGGGTGTAGTCTGTAGTGGTCTACTTGCTAGGATCATTTAGGGAAGAGAATCATCACAGATACAAGATTTAATTTCAGCAAGTCACTTAAAAGCCTTTCTCCTCTCACAGGTGGTGGACGTGTGAAAATAGAGAGTGTAAAGCTGGATTTCAAAGAAAAGGCCCAAGCTAAAGTCGGTTCACTTGACAATGCCCACCACGTGCCTGGAGGTGGTAATGTCAAGGTAAGAAACAAAGTCACAATCCAAGCTTGTCTTTTTTAAAACCAATTCTTCCGAAGTACTCTCAATCAAAATGGGTCCCAGATTGCAGACCTAAACAAACAGAAAGGAGGGATGCAGAGCCAAACAGAAGTCACATTCCTATCAGCTAGAGCTGATAGGAATCATATCCTAGAGGATACAGGGACAGAACTACGGGCTGGTTAAGATTCTCAAGCTAATGAGGACTGATGCTTGTCTTAAACAGATTGACAGCCAAAAGTTGAACTTCAGAGAGCATGCGAAGGCCCGTGTGGACCATGGGGCTGAGATCATTACCCAGTCCCCAGGCAGGTCCAGTGTGGCATCGCCCAGAAGGCTCAGCAATGTCTCCTCTTCTGGAAGCATCAACCTGCTCGAATCTCCTCAGCTTGCCACTTTGGCAGAGGATGTCACTGCTGCACTTGCTAAGCAGGGCTTATGAATAATTCGCATTTAGCATTGAAATTTAATAATATTTAGGCATGAGCTCTTGGCAGGAGTGGGCTCTGAGCAGGTGTTATATTCACTCTTTACAAACCATAAGATAAATAATCTCATCCCCAAACTGTAGTAATTGTTACAATTTTATATAAAAAATGAATAGTATATGCAGAAATTGACCTGATTTATTTGCAACAGGAACACACTGGCTTTACATGAGTACAATTGGACAATTATTTTCGCTCTGCTCTGTTTTGCATGGAGTATTATTATTATTATTTTAAAAATTGCATTTTTACCTTTCATATGCCTGAAGGCTATCCATTACCTTCTGAAAGGCCTTGTTAAAATCCAAGCTGCTCATTTCACTCTTCTGTTTCTGGGTGAAAAATGAAAACTGCCCATTGTAACTTATTATAGGTTAAATTAAAATCAAGAAGTCTGATTGAAGGAAAGGAAGAGCATGTAATAAATAAGTTTTTTTAAAGTGTTATTTTGTATAAATGGGAAGAAAAATGCAACTAAGTTATTACCATTTGGGACCTGGATAATTATATCAGAGTATGTCAATCCAATCAATTATTTAACTAACTAAAAAATAGTTACAAAGCATTCAAACTATGGTTGAGGAAGTGGTATAAAAGTGCTTCTGTTAGGAATGAAGCACTTTCATTAGGATGGACTCATGTCTGATTAGAATGTCAGTTGATTGGCTAGATTTGTGTCCACACTACCAGTTTCACACCCCCTTTCCATCTGTTTGATACAGTATTATAGATATAAATATATATATATTTCTCTGTGGCCATTTGTGATACTTCCTCATATACTTGAATATTACACTTCTTTATTCACAGTATCTGTGTCTCCTGCACCCTTTGGTGTTTCAATTTTAGGTATGTGAAAGTAGATGTTAGCAGGGTTCTTTCCCTATTTAAAAAAAATACATTAAAAAAGACAAAAAGTTTTAGCATGAAGTTGCTTTCTGTAACAACTCAAAGCTGTAACCCTGTTTTAGTGCCAGATACAAGTCTCTCCCGTGATGCTAGAACAAATTATATTTCTTTGCTTTCACCAACATGGAGTTTGTGGGGGTGATCCAGTTATACATGAAAGGGTTTACAGATTGTTGGTTTATGATCATGGATTCACTTCATATGTAATCACAAAATAGTTTGGATTGTATTCCTAAATAAGTCTTAAAAATTATTTTTCTTTCTTTTTTGTTTTTTCATTTGCTAAAGTTGAAATTAAGAGTGGTAATTTAGGACATGTTTTCCCATTCTTCTGAATAGAATCTGTTTATTAAATTCTCTTATAGAAGATAATTGGCTTTTTTACCCAAAGTAAAGATCCCTTGACTAGAAAAGAAAAATACAACATTCAGAGAAGCTTAGCTCAAAAACATTTGAGACACAGATATCTAAATCAGGTTTTTCCAGGACACCAACATTGCACTCTCTAAAAGAACATAGTGTAACTTAGTATTATTTATCAGTAGATAATATGGTTCTGACTTTATATATACATACAGAAATCACAAATCAATTGATTAATTCTGCTTATAAAGTCACTCATCTTATAATTACAGATAAGCAATGAAATAGTCAATGGCCTGCATAAGGCAAAGAGTTATAAACTGGCTGGACACTGACACTTTTATCTGTTCTTTTTCTTGCTCAGGGATGGTAGGCTGGATCTAAAAAGTTAAAGATAAATGGTCTGGTAGGTCTTTGATCTCTGTGATCCAAATAAATTCCTGAATATAAAGCATGAGATGATGAGCATGGACTGGGCAATAAAGTAGTATAGGAGCATCTAGACAAAAAGCCAAGGAATGCAGAGAGACATGGGGCCATTTTGGTTCCCCATTAGATATCACAGCCAATGTGACTGCCACAAAGGAAACCCTAGGAAAGAACTATACTATTCCTTCTCAGCTAAGAGATTTACACAAGAAAATGTTTCTTGAGCATTTATAAATCAGTTGTTTTGGGAAAATCAAAACTTAGAAATTGCTGAGTAGGATTATGGATAAATCTATTTTCTGCTTCGTAAATGCTATCAGATTTGATTTGATCAATCTGGGCAATTTACCCATCATCTTCCATTGAAATACACCAGAAAACAGGGGAAGAAAAAAGAATAATTATGTGAAGATTTATGGTATTCTCTTACGTGTTTTCGTAGTGTTAGATAGTGGTTAAAGTTCTCTAGAAAAATAGAAGTTAACAGCTGGTTAGAACAGATTCAACCTATGGGGGTAAAAAGAAGGTTTTCAACCTTGCTTAATTTTATTATGAAAGTTAAGACTATGTAAACATATTCTACATATTAAAATTCAGTTTCTTACAATCCATGCCCAAAGTAAAAATTATGTGAGGCACTAATTTAATGGATTTGGCATTAAAACAAATGTTTATTTCCAATGACAACAAAACTATAATGAATTCATTTCCTTGTTTTGTATGAGAATGCAATTGTTTATGAAGTTAAAAAAGAAAGAGAGAGACATACAAGCTGAGAATGTCTTCTTATGGGGATATGGGATGAAACTCATCTTGCCTTCACTCCTAAGATAACGACTCAAATTAAGCTTCTTGAACACCACTTTTGTGGGGACACACATACGCTAATCTAGAAATGAAAGCTTCTTAGTTCCATTTCTAGATCTACTAATGCCAGTTTCTCTCTGGCTTTAGCCTTTGAGAACCTGTTTAAGAATACGTAAGTAATCCAGAGTTGTAAAGAGTTAAAGGGCCACCTTCTCCAATGAACTCAGTCTCTCTGGGTCACCTGCAACTGAAAATTGGATACCTTACAACAATGCAGGAAAGATCCGAGTTCATGATGAGTTTCAAAGGCCATGGTTCATTTAGGAACCAACTCTCTCTGGATTCATCTGCTGAGTTCCAGCAGAATGATGGGCTGAAGTCCCACCCATAAGCAAGCCATCTGTGTGTCATCACTAGGTATGGCCAAAGAAGGCTGAAGTGAGCATTCCATTAAATAGAACATGCTGACCCTAGTTGGCCTTCACGTGCACTCATACAGTAATACAGCAGGAGTGGAATCACCAGCCAGAATGTTAACATTATGTCAGTATTATTAAAGAAATAATCTAATATGGTTGATTATGACATAGCTACAATCTTAGTTTTTCTCCTATTTTTCATGCCACAGGAAGGAAAATAAACTTTTCATGGTACAAGTAGCAAAGATGAAGTAAATTCATGGTTTGGGAAGGCAAATTCCAAGCATTCCTTCAAAGACAGATGTGCAAAAAATAGCACTGATGTTTGTTTTTTTACACCTAGAATTTTTAGCCTGGGTGTGTAGGTTGAGGCCATTATCCCTCTGCAGGAAAAAGATTATTTTCAAATTCAAAAAATGTTAATCATAAAAGTCCACTTCAACTTTAGCAAAAAGAAAAAAAAATCAACAAAAAGTATACTCTGTATGCTGGGATTCCAAGGTTCCAACACACCACTACAAATCTGTGGGGAGGGGGGGGTTCTTTTCAGATAAATTCTAGAGCCTGTTACCATAGAAAGGCATTTCTTCAATGGCTGGTTGTAGTTAGCTCATGTTTTTCAATCAAATTTGCAAATGTATTTGTTGCTGTATAGTGATTGTTTTGCAAAATAAAATTGCTTGTCACCTATCTGCTAGTTTCAGTTTTTTTATTGTATTTTCATCTCTGGGGGAAAAACGTGTGTGTGTGTGTGTGTGTGTGTGTGTTATACCTGTTCATGTATGTACATGTACATTACTATTATCTGCTTAAGTCTGCTGTGTCAGACCCTGTAGAAAGTAATTTTATATTATCTCATGCAATTGATGAGGGAATTTTGTTTTGGTTTTTAGTTTTTCAGTGCTTGAGATCCAACACAGAGCCTTGTACTTGTTAGGCACTTGTACATGTACTACTGAGCTACATCCCCAGTAGGAATTTTTTTTTATTGCAACTGTATTATCAGGATGCTATCTGCTGCCAGTGACAAAAAGCATTAAATTGGCTTTAGCATAAAACTGAATTTATTGGCTCAAATAATTAGCTAAATGGGCATATCTGTCAGGTGTGGATTGGATTCAGGCACTCAAAAGACATTGTCAAGAACTTTTCTTTTCCAACTGAGGATCCAGGCACTCAAAAGACATCATCAGAAAACATTTTTTCCAGCTTTTTTTTCTGCTTCCTTGGTGTTGACTTCAGACACCCTTCCATGATAGGTGCCAGAAACTCCACACTTACAAGTGAAAGCCTCAGTCCCAATAATACTAATCAAAATCTAGGGTCTGAAAATCATTGACCTATGAATTATCTGCCCTATTATGTTGATAGGCCAGGTTGTGTCACATAATCAGCTCTATCACAAGTGGTTGAGACTGAAGGAGAGTCGGGGGAGAAGTGATTTCATCTTCTCACATAAGTCCAGTGCCACAATGTTTTTGATTGCATTAGAGAGAGGATTCTAGAACAGACACAAAAGAGATTTAGTAGGAGCAGGTTTATCAATGTGAGGCAAAGTGTGAAAGTACCCTCTTCATACAGCCAAGTGGATAGACTCAAGAAGGAGCAGCTAGCCTGAGAGTCTTAAGAGTTTGAATTTTTATTGGGATTTACAGACATGCGGATGATCATTCCTGGGAAAAGGGAAGTATTTTGTGGGACCTGGGTTATGTGTCATCAACTTCCTCCACATGTCAAGCTACATGAACTAATCATAGAAGGGCAATGCTTCTTCCAAAGTGAAATCAGGCTGGTACTGCCAGGAGAGAGGAATTGATCTGTGCTAGCCATAAAAACAAATATCCACTGGATGCACACACCTTATTTAGTTTCAATCTTTATTTGCCCTATAGTGCCTTACTATTCAAATTGAACTCAAGATTCACTTGACATCTTATTTGAAATGTACATTCTCAGGTCCCACCCTAAACCAACCGATAACATTCCCCTAGAAGACACATTGCACATTAAGATATGAGAAGTACTCAGTTT